AAATGGTTCAGGTACTCCAATGCTCAAAGATCATATTAATTTGGAACACAGTACCCAGCAACGTTTCGACCCAAATAGGGTCTTTTGCAGGCTAACACCCACAGACACAAGTGAACTATTTGTAGGCAGAGGAAATGATGTGCACAATAAAGCAATCAACAATAAGTGAATTAATAAAGCAATTAAATTAATATGCTCACTGAGTGTCTATGTGGATCATCTGTGCTTAGTAAAAATAACCAAGATAATGGCTGCCAAGAAGGAGGCGACATAAAAATAAAATTAGAAAAACAAACAAAAAATAATAATAATATTAATATTAGCCGGGTGCCAGGTTACAGCGTCACAGCTTAGGGAAAGAGACTCCCACCCGCTTTGCGCAATGTCTGACGTCCCAACGCATCATGCTGATAGCCACTAGAGGTGAACCTAACCCTGCAAAATAAACATTGCAGTTTCTAAATATGACAATGTTTCATACTGCAGAGTTAAAAGGACAAGCCCCCAGAAAGCTTCAGTGAGATAAAGTGGTCTGGGTGACTGTTGTGTCATTTTAATGTTAAATTAATTTTATCATTACCAGATAAACCAATAAATTTACCTATGATATTACCTTGCCTTATCCCCCTGTGACCTTTAAAGGGAACCTGTCATACCCACAGCAAATTATGCTCCATTTAGAGAGCATTCAATTTTATCTTTACATTGTGCTAGCAGATTTTGCTAGTAAATGAAAATATTTAAATTTAGGTATTTCCCCCATCTGTCAATCAATTCTTAAGCATTGACTATCTGGCAATGATTTGAATGACAGGGAGAGCAGAAGAGACCTCCCACAGGCGTTCCTGCTGCTCGGCAAGCATAGTAAGCACAGCATATGTGCAGCATTTGGTATGGTAATTACCTAGCTGACGCTGCTAGCATTGACTAGGTATAGGACTGGAGTGTCTAACATCAATGTATTAAATAAATAATAATAGGCATACCTAAAATTATACATCACATATTAACTAATTTTAACACAAAAGGGTGTATAGAATCTGGAATGAAGGCAGATACAATATGTGCAGTATGGTATGGGGTATGGTAGGGAGTCAAATATTGGGACTATGCTTATAATTAAAACATACATCATCATCTCATCTCTACCAATCTTTAATGCTTGTTTCCTGTATTTTATATGCTTGGTGATTTGTGCCTAAGTTACCCTCCTTCTGTTATTATTTCCTGCAATGGGATCATCATCTGCATATTCAGAATCAACTGTATTATGACATCATTGGATATGAGTGATCTCACAAGATATAAGTGACCTCACAGAAACCTTGGCTATTTATATACTATGAATTCTTTACAGAAAAAAAGATTTGGTTCATTTGCGTTCTGAAACAGAGTTTCTACTCTTTAGACACCTTTAAGAGGTATGCAGTATATGTGTTTAGTGTAGAGTCTTTCATATGTGGTGAAAAAATATGAGGGAGTCTACACCTGCATCAGTTTTATGTTTGTTTAACTTGTTTTCACATTATGTCAGTTTTAGGCATGTGCATGGGAAAATGTTTCGGTTTGGCATTCCGAAATTCGTGACTTCGGCAATTCGGCAGTATAGCGAGTAGGGGCACAATTTACTAATACTAAGTAATTTTTACTTAGTATTAGTAAATGTGGCTGAAAGACCAATTTAGGTCTTTCAGCCTTTTGGTAGATAACTCCCTAATACCGTGGGAATTAGGGAGTTATCTACCAAGCGGCTGCAAGAGATGTTCCGAAATTCCGAAGTTGCCGAAGTGCCGAATTGCCGAAGTCCCGAAGTTCCGAAATTACCAAATTTCCGAAGTGTTGAAGTGCCGAAGTGCCAAAGTTCCGAATATTACATAGACATGCAGGCAAGGTAATTCAATAAAGTGAGTGTTGCTTCACACAATTTAGGAAATTGAGCATTTTCAGGAATTCTATGTGAGTTTAAGGCCAAAATACCTTATGTGGAAAAAAGAATCTCTAAATTAGCTATGTTTCCAGTTCAGCTATTGTGTTCTAAAATGTGAAATTCACATTGAAATCACTGTGAATTCCTGACGGTTCTATCTTTTGTAAATAATCTTGACAGTGAATTCAAAGTGAATTTCAAATTTAAGTCAAAATTATATTGGCATGGGGAATTTTTCTAATTCAGCTATTTTGGCCTAAATTTTGAAATTCACCTTGAATTCTGCGAATAGTGTGACTTGTTTTGGATTCTAAGGAAAATGAAAAGGAATTTAAAATTATAGGCCAAAATATCTCAACTTGAAAAATTCTCCAAATCAGCTATGTTTTTAAAATGCACTTTGAATTTACTTTTCAATCCCAACAATTCATGCTTTAGTGAATAATCACCAAACACCTAAACCACTTTAGCTTGCTTTAAGTGTTAATTAACTGTCCCTGCAGGCTTATTTTACTAAACTGCCAATTTCAAGAGAAATCTTCACATTTATAAACCACCTAAAAAACACCTGTCTGTTTGACAGCTGGCATGGCTTCTTGCTTCACTCACTTTGAACAGTACTTCAAAGCGGAAGTGAGTGCTTCTCATGCAGAAACATTGGTTTCATTGAAAAGCATTGTTGGCAGACTGTGGCGATTGCTGTGCATACACTGTGTGTCCCAATAATGCTCTGTGCATCTGAATGGACACAAGTCATCAGTAATGATGACTTTACCTAAGGCGAATTGGAAATGCAGTGAGGAGACTCTCCTAGGAGTGGGAACAAAGAAGAGTTTAATTAATTTTAACCCTTCCAATGCTTAAATGGAGGATGGGGTTAGAAATCGAAACACTAAAGCAAACTCTTCAATTAAATAAAATATATATATTTGTTTTTTATATTCCTTTAAGTATTCACATTAAGGCTTCACATCTTCCCGTGTTTGAGGCCATCTTGTAGTTGATATGCAATATATTCCTTTTATTTGCATTTTGTATGTAAATAAATATTTTTTTCAGTCTTTTGACCATCCAGTTTTCTTTTTTCATTTTATATTTATTTCAGCTGCTAATTAACTGTATTTTAGTTGTTTGTTCAGGGATACAATATGAGAAGCAATTATGCAACCATAAAAACTGTTAAATGAAGGCTCAATAAATCCCTAATCACAGCCACTATCTTCTACTGCTCCTCAGTTTTAAATATAAAAGAAACTCACATAAATTGGCACTTGAGATAAGCGCAAAAATGATAAATAAATATAAAATTAAATTAAAATAGGAATTAGCTAAGTAATAAGTGAAACACAATGTGATTATATCGTAATCTAAATATGCGGAAACCAGCACACTGAGGTTACATACCAGTATGCTATTTCTGTTTCTAGATACATTTATCCACACACAGATACAGAAGATGTATATCACTGATAAACAACAACCGTACTACCAGATGGTGTCAATAAACTGCAATCTGCAGTAATTGCGAGCAATTTGGAGACATGATACTGTGAATCCTAGTCAATTCATTATCCAAGAAACGGTTTCCATTAGGTGTTTTCACGATAGAATTGTAGACACAAGTTAGGAGGAAAGCAAGTAATGTACAACTCAGATGCTTTTGTCACAATTCATGTGTTGGAAGTGGTTAGCAGAGTTGGTCAATCAGTTCCCAGTTGTGCATTTCAGACAAGAAAACCGTAGTCATGTGTTATACGTGACTAAGGTCTTTCTTGTCAGAAACGTTGTATCTTCAGGGCCTCCCTGTCTTGATATAATAGAGTAATAGTCTGCAACAAAAAAGAGGGGACCCCCAGATGGGCCTAAAGTGTGTAAAGGGAGCTTTATAGGGGGTGACCCTAGGAATTAGGTTAATTGTATACAAACTTGAGATCAACACCACACTTTACCGTAAACCCACTTCAACTAATACCATGCTCATATGGGAAAGTTATCATTCAACTTCCCTTAAGAGAGGCATTCCAGTTGGGCAATATCTAAGGCTCAGGAGGCATTGTTTCTCTACCAAAGACTTTGAAACAAAAGCAAAACAGCTTAAGCAAAGATTTAAAGAAAGGGGGTATGCCATCAGATGCCTAAAGAGGGCTTACCAGAGAGCGTCACTATGTGAACGTGAAATACTGTTACCGGTAAGTGACATAGCTAAGTTGGATACCACTAGTGGTGTGTATTCAATTTTGACTCAAGGTGGGATGTTGCTAAAAAAAACTTGGGAAGATTTTGGCCGCTCCTAACTCAGGATCCACACTTGTCGAAAGTTGCTCCCCCAAGTGTGTCACTTACTGCTAGAAGGGGTAAAAACTAAAAGAAATGTTGGTACCAAGTCATCTGTCAACACCCAGTACAAACAAAAACTGGATCTCAGTGAATGGAAATGCGGACGCTGTGTAGCATGCCGCTATATGGCCAAGGGATCAAAAGTGTTAACAAATTTGTCCCGTATTGTTAATATTGCAATTAAACAGTTTGTTTTGTATTTTTTTTTAAATGTTTTTATTTTTGTTGTGCATAGAAATAATACAAACAGGCTTGAGGTGCCCCGAAAGCAGTCCTCAGGCGTAACTTGCGGGACATTCGGGTAACTGGCACAGTTTTATATTATGTTTATGCTGAGTCAGTGATATCAGTAAGCATCAGTGGTAAAAGAGAGTTTGAGATGCGAACATTATCTTGTTTGGTGCATGAGTGAATTATGTGTGTTAACTTGGGTGAATGTAGGTATTTATCTAAGCTAGTCTGCCCTTGCACATTGGAGTCGTGGTTGTGACTGGAGCGGTGTAGTATTATGATTAAGAGTTTGTAGGTCGTGTAACATGCTAATAAGGTGTGCAATAACTGGCTAGGTACATAACAGTTGGCGGGACTCCTAACATACAGTCAGTACTCTCCTTCTGTCTCCGAGCAAAGTAGTGTAACAAGCAAATTGGACTAGCACAAAATTAACTGGATGCGGCCATGCTTATGCGTAGCTGCAAGTCCTGCGTAGGGTAAGGCACTGTTACCTTGCTAGGGATCACTTGGCACTGTCAGTCAATGTCTCGACTTGGCACAGCCTGAGAGTCTGTGGGGGTCCCTGGTTGTATGGATCAGCCAATACCTTGTCTGGCCTTTGTGGTTGCTTGTGTGGGGTGGTCGTCGGATGTGGCTGTGGGCATCCTGGGTGCCACCGGGCTCGTTCGGAGGTGTCCTTGCTGTCCTGCTGGGCGATGGTTGTACTTGTTTGTCGTTGGAGTCTGTCGTCTGCTGGGTATTGCAGTCTGTGCCGTCCGGCCCGGGGGTCTCTGTAATGGGCCCAGGTTTCTTCTTCCCGGGGGGTGCCCGGATCTGTGGTGTGCCGTTCTGCCCCGGTGCTGTGCGGGAGCTGGTGCTCTTGTGCCACGAGCCTGGGTTCCGTGGTGGCCCAGGGTCTTCCCTGTCGGAATGTTGCGGTGGGTTTGTTTCTTCGTTTGTGGTCGACTACCTCTTACCCCTTTCCGCTGGTGTGGTGTGCACCTTTGGGGTGTTGCCCCTGTTGCTCCCAGCCCGGGAGGGCCCCCGTCTCAGGGATTTGTCGCTTGGCATTCCTTGGCGCCCCGGGGAGGTTTCCCAGGTCTCCCCATGTCTAGAGTTGTGTGACTCGCCGGTTTCATGCTGTTTGGACCTGCTGACAGTATGAGCACCTGTAGCTTGGCCCAGAAACGGTTGAAGATTTTGCTAATTGGGTCTCTTGCATGGGCGTTGGTACCTTTTCTGGTAGGCCGTCGCTCACCTTGCTTGCTTGGTGCGCTTGCTTTCACCTTGTTTGAAAGGGTTGCAAGCTGGAACATGTGGTGCGTAGTGTGAGGTTCTCCGCTTGGCGTGGACCAGGATCTCCCCCACCGGTCCATGGGTGGGGGGGGGTATATTATTCTCGCTTGTGACTAATTGCTTTTGGAGGGAAAGCGGCCGTCTTTCATCGCCGCCTCCCGAGTTAGGCCTCACTCTGTCGTTGCAGAACTCGATCTTCCTGGGCATCGGGTTCAGTATCGATGGGTTCCGGTAGGTATCCCCTATGTCATAGGCACACTGGTAGTGGGATTGTTGCTCTGCAGCTCGGAAGGTTGGCATAATTAGCGCCCGTGTGGCAGGAGCTCCTGCAACACACGTCTTGCCAGGTCTCCGCCCCCATTAAACCGTTGGTGTGGTATACCTTCTGACATGTGAGTACGGCCTCAAATATGTGGACAAAACCATACGTCCCTTCAAAAGAAGTATTATGGAACACGTCCACTCAGTGACAACCTTTAAGGACACTCCTGTCGCTAGACATGTCAGACTGTACCACTAAGACTCTCCCAGAGGAATGAAGTTTGCCGAATTGAAAAAGTCCATATGGGCAAAAGGGGAGGAGATCTGGATCTAACTCTCAAAAAAGAGAATGTTTCTGGACATACAATTTTGACAGCTTGGCACCTAATGGACTAAATAGGGGCTTTACATTTACTTCATTAATTGGTACATAGGAGCAATACTACACGTACTTAATTTTAAATAAGATATTAATATATTGTTAAAACAACAATAAACTATCAATTAAATCATGTGTATTACAGATACATAACACCCTCTGATGAATTATGTTGCTTTTTATTGATTATATCAATCATATGACCACTGAGAGTTAAACATTAAATCCCGTCATTATAATAGCCAACCTTTACAGACACAAAAAGATGTGTATACATATTACTGTCTTGTCTACTTTGACATAGCACATAATTTTATTAGTGTTATAGGAGATATACTGGCTATGTTCCACAATATAGAGGTACACCCCCAAATTCACGCTCCGTTCTGACGATCCAAAGGGGCGGTTTACTCCATCAACATGAGTGACAGAGTACACTGTGCTTGTTGGATAGTAGGCGGGTGCTGGGCGTCTACACTGCTCATGCTGTGCGTCTACACTTCTCATGCACGCCCGAAATGGACCCGTCTCGAAAGTTAATCACTCCCTTCATACCCCCAGTATAGCTGCGATTCAGGAAACCAGAGTCCACCCTATGACGTGTAGGTGGGCAGTTACTGTATAAATTATGCGGCAAAAAGGGGGCGGAGCACGACGTGATGTTACGTTCAGTCTCCAAAACGGACTTAATTAAGGCGGTAATTTTATTGCACACCCCCGCCCCCCATTGGTCAATATGGGTACAGACCCCATTCAAGTCCCATTTAAAAAGCAGCAAAGCATGTTGAACACTTCAATGCCTCAGACGAAGGCGGTTTAGCAGTGCCGAAACACGCATCAGGCCTTTTCTATTATTTTCAACTCACTGCACGATTTTGTTTCCACTATGGTTAGCTTGTGAGGGATATTGTAGCAATTTGATGAGGGGAAACTCTCTGCAATGGAGATCATTTTAGGGTGACTCTTTAGTCAACATGAAAGGTTTGTTTTTTTCTCTTATAGGATTGAGGATAGTAGCTTTTAACCTTCATTTTATACATTTTTTCAGACAGCGACCTTGAAGTCGATTTATTTGTAGCAAGTTTAAAGAAGGCTTAGCTACTTCTCTAGATATAGTATCCTAATAATTCACTTTTCCAGGACTGAGTGGCAACATTGTTTACAATTTTTGTTGTAACATCTCAAAGGTTTTTCACTGCTCAGCAGCTAAGTATAGCTGCTTAACCTTTTTGTGAGCATGTAATTTGCACTCACTATAACCACGTTATAATCAACTGGTGATTAGGATTCACTTGTCTACATCCACCTATATATATAGATATACAATCCAAAAGCAGCCACCATTGCTCTATAGCCCTCTCTATCCCATTCTATTTATAAAGCTTAGTAGCTCGGTTTGTACTTTTAGGTTTTCTTTTTTGTTGTTTTTTTTTATTATTATTTTTTTATATATATATTCTAAATAAATTGAGTTTTAATATTACATTGTCTACTGGTCAGTTTTTGTATACAATAGTCTGCAACAGCCCTCATTTATTTTTTTCTATGAAAACTAGATATTTTTATTTATATTATTTATAAAGCGCGGTAGAATGGGTGGACTATTTGTAACCAGACGAGTTGGACACATAGCAACAGAGGGGCTTGAGAGCCTTCCTCAATGAGCTTACATGCTAGAGGGTGTGGGGTATAGTGACACAAAAGGTAAAGGGGGGAGGGGGTGGTAGAAAAGTAGGTTGGTAGGATATTATTATTTATTTATCAAATATTTTACCTGTAAGGATACATTGAGATTTCTCTTGTTTTTAAGTATGTGCTGGGACCACAAACATTGATTTGTTACAATTCACTGATGGCTTAGAGTTCTGCATTTTATTTTTTATGACAGTTGCAGGCGAGGAATCAGGGTACAGGAAGGGAAAGCTGTTAACAGTTTAATTGATACGCTTTCCCAAAGAAGTGAGTTTTCAATGATTTTTTAAAGGAATGAAGACAAGGTGAAAGTCTAACGTGGAGTGGGAAGAAGTTCCACAGGAACGGTGCAGCCCTAGAAAAGTCTTGAAGAGAAGCATCGGAGGTAGGAGTATGAACAGAGGATAGACGTAGTTCTTCGGCAGACTGGACATACGTGTGTATTGGGAAGGATAGGTAGCTTGGAGCAGCACGTAGAGACTTGTTAGCAAGTACCAGAATCGTAAATTGAGCCCTATATCTTATGGGAAGGCAATGTAGAGACTAACAGAGTGAGGAGGCGTGGGAGGTGCGGGCGGACAAGAAGATGAGCCTTGTTGCCACATTCATTAGAGAACAGGTAAGACCACTGAGAAGTGAATTGCAGTAGTCAAGGCAAGACAGGATTGCAGCATGGACCAGCACCTTAGCTGTGTCTTGCGTCAAATAGATTGCACTAAGTTTTTGAGATGGAAGCAGCAAGATTTGGCATCGACTGGACACGAGGGGTGAAGGAGAGTTTGGAGTCAAAGAGACACCTAAACAGTGAGCCTGCGATGTAGAGCTGATGGTAACGTCAGAGACAGCAGTAGCAAAACCTGAGGAAAGACCAGTAGTTCTGTTTTGTACTAATTAAGTTTAAAGAAGTAGGCAGCCATTGAGTTAAAAACAGCAGAGTGGCAGTCAGAGACAGGACCAGATTAAGAGCCCAGTGGGCCTGGTGCTGACAATTATGATGGGCCTAATTACGTAATCTTCTCAACCAAAAACACTAAAACAGTCATACCTCCCAAGCGTCACGTATCTGATTTAGATGGTGTTGAAGGGAAACTCAAAGGATGCAGCTACTCACATACTCTATGCTAATCTCTCTCTAATTCATGCTTTCAAGTAAATCCATACCCCCTAACAGCAGTGTCCAGTGAAGCAGGAAGTCTATGGATGGGGTAAAAGGGTGGGCCACTGGCGCAAATCACGTGACCAGACCTGCCAAAAGGGGTGAACATGCCCAAAAAGGGGGCATTTTTGTCCAAAGAATTGGAAGGACAGCCTGGCATGAATGCAGGCTGTCCAACTAGGGGCATACTATGCAGGCAGCACCCTGAACTTGACATAAATGCATCAAATGATGCGCCTACTTCACGCTTTCTAAGAACTGTCCCCTAGCACTTGCATGTCCACATGTCGCCTTATCATCTTACTAGCAGGTAAAAGTTCCTGGTATATAGTCTGGGGCAGAGAAAAGGTGTATGTAGTGAGTGTAGAAGAAAAGGAACATGCCACAGTGTTAGAGAGACCAAAGTCTGCATTATCTAAACTAATGTTATTGTCAGCCAGTCCACACAGGTTTTGTTCTCATGCATCCCTCTTAAGCTTCCAAACTTAAAGGGACACTATGGTCACCAGAACAACTACAGCTTATTGTATTTGTTCTAGTAAGTTCCAGGCTTTTTGCAGTAAACACTGTCTTTTCAGAGAAAATAACTCTGATGGCCACTCCTTAGATGGCTGCTAGAGGTGCCACCTGGGGCAGTACTGCCTAGTGTGCAGCACAGCCATTCAGTGTCTCCACCCTCTGCATGCAGACACTGAACTTTCCTCATAGAGATGCATTGAATCAATGTATCTTCATGAGAAGATGCTGATTGACCAGGGCTATGTTTGACTTGTGCTGGCTCTACCCCTGATCTGCCTAGTTGACAGTCTCAGCCAATCCTATGGGGAAGCATTGTAATCTGCTCAGACCACCACTTCTGATGATGTCAGCAGACAGAGTCAAAGGCATGATGTCAAAGGCAGACAGGGAAAGAGCCAGCAGCTGTAGACTTGAATACAAGTAAGAGTTTACTATATTTAGGGAGGCAAGAGGGGGGACAGGGGGGCTAAATGGTGGTTTTAACATAATAAGGTCATAAATACATGATTGTATTTCTGACCCTATAGTGTTCCTTTAAGCAAGAGTATGCGAAGAGTAGTTAGGGTTGCCACCTTTCATGGAAAAAAATACCAGCCTTATACATTTGTATAATTATTTAGTTATGCGTGACATCACATGATGTAAATCACAAGGAGTGACATAAGAGAAAATTCTGTAAAATCACCAACAAACTACTCACAGTTGGATTCTGCTGTATAGATGGATTGCTCCCAGTGTCTCCCTGTCTTCCAGTGTCTCAGACTGTCTCGCAAGTCACCTAGTCTCTCAGTGTCCCTATGTCGCCCAGTCCCCTAGTCTCTGTGTCTCAGTGTTCCCATTTCTGTCAGTGTCCCCATGTCTCACTGTGTCCCCAAGTCACTGAGAGACCCGGGGACAGTGAGACACTTGGGGACTCTGGGAGACATAGAGACACTGACTCACTAGGGACAATGAGACATGGGGACACAGACACTGGGAGACTAGGGGACACTGGGAGACATAGGGACACTGGG